ATTTATCTAGTGTGAGCATTAGTGTAATTTAATTAATGCTGAGCCCTGTTTTTCACAGGAAATCAACAGAAAAATAGTTTTCTAGCTGAGAGTTTCTCAGCAACCCAGATGCTTTACACTGATTCCAGAAATGTCATTCTTAAGCTGACTAATGGCTTGAAAACTAAAAAGAAGCAAGCTCCATGGGGCATGGCTTGTGCTACCAGTCTCTGCTCTGCTGTATGGTTTTGTTGTTAATTGTTTGCATTTTGTAGTATCTTATGTAAGCTTTATCACAGAAGAGGGTTTCTCAGATGGATTAAGTTTGCCAGCAAGCATAGATGGAGAGGCACAATGCTGAATGAAGATGTACTAATTAGCAGATGTACTAATTTTACAGAAGCAGTATTTAAATTCTTCATAATTTACTGTAGTAGGTTGAATGTGCAGTTTGCCATGCAAAATGTGCATATTATATTTGTAGCCTACTTCGGTCAGCAGTCCATGTACTGCACCTATGAAGGAAGGATAGGTTTAACTCTGCCACGTGAAGCACAATTCTGTACTGAGTTGAGATGAGATCAGATAGCATGCAGTATGATTATCCTGTCTTATCCTGCAGATGATGTTGGTCATTTAAGCGCCTAGTTCTCTGAACTCTCTTTATGCCTGCTACCTGACTATACTCTGTATGAAGCACTATTTCCTTCACATGTTGTGTTTCATGTATCTTCTTTCATTTGCTTTCACTGGCTATAAAAATCAGCTAGTGAGACCTGGTTGTCATACAATAGTACAACCTAAGTGCAGTATATGAAATAGTCAGGTCAAAATGTAGTCAAAATATGCTGCAAATCTACTTTACCTAATTAGTATGTTACAGTACTGGAGAGGTGAGTTATCTTTAAAGCTTCTTTTGAATGTTTTTGGCATATTATCAGAATATAATTGCAATATCAGCATATTTTATGATAACTTCTAATAATCAGTTTTATAAACAATTCCTTTTGTTAAAGAAATAAATATCCTATTTTAAAAACCAAATTATAATTGGAAGTTGATGGATGAAATTCTTCCGTTAATGTCATATAAAAAAAAGTAATATTCAGAATGATCCAGGTGAGTTTTATTTATAAGTTTACTATTGTGACAGCAATTCCCACACCATACTTGTTTAATCCTTCTTGTCTGTGAAATACGTTATAAATATTTACTGTTAAGTGCTAAGTGAAAAGCATGGAATATGATCCTTGTTAGCCACTACCAGCAACTCTTCCATGCTATGGCGTGTGTTTAGATGCCACAAAAACAGAGAAGGCATTCCTACTCTAACTGCATAAATCAAGTAGCTTGTTTCTACTTTTACCAATGGTGCTGGACATCTGGCTTAATGCTGTTAAACTCAGGTTGACTTTGTATTAGTGTAAGAAAGGCACAGAGCCTAACGATGTATTTGTGTACAAATACATGCTGCAGGTTGGATAGAAGATGGTATTTCTTGAATATCCATGTCCTAAATTCTCTGAGTTTGTTTCTGCTGGAGCATTTCTGCCTTAAGGTTCAGGGTCACTGACCTTATTTGAGCCAATGGCTGACTGCCTGCTGAGATGCTGTCACCTGTCCTGATGAGCTGGGGGGTCAGTACTTGCCGAACAATTGACCGCAGTGGCTGCTCAGAGGACGAGAGCGGGCAGGTATTGTAGATGATTTAGCCTGTTGGAGCAGTTAGTTGGTGGTGTTAGGAGGACCTAAGCCATACACACAGCACTTTTTCCAATGAATAAATGTTACTAGGTCTTCAGTGGAGTATCCGACTTCATTTCTACTCTTGAAGGTTTCTCAAAATTATGTTAGCTGTGCAGTGCATTAAAACAAAGCTGCAAAATGGTGTGTGTTACATGAGGTTATGAAAACTGCTTGCTCAGATTATTAATACAACTGAGCAGATTCCCAGAGGCCAGAGAGAATATGTTGAAGAGATCATTGTTACCAGTGTTTGGCAAGGTAGCAAACGAATGCTGTAAATACAACATAACTGTGGTGATAAAAATATCTGAACCAAAATACTGTGCTGTATATCAATGTAGAACATAACTAACTACAGGAAGGCACTGTGCTCTGTGGAAAGATAATTTATTTATGAAGAAGGCAGTGATATGCATAATGTGGAGAGGCAGGGATGAGGGGGACTTGATTTTTAAGCTATCAGTGAGCTCTAATAAAATGCAAATTACTGTTTCTTGTCCCTGCTGACAGGTAGTGCGTGTTGCACTGCATTTTAACCTTTGTTTTTTGATGTTCCTTAAAGCTCTTCTCGAGCTTTGCGGAAAGAAGGAGGGCTTCATGTCAAAGGTCGTTTTTGCTGAAGTTGGTGCTGAAGAGAGACCAGTTGCGTAATAGTCTTAGCTGCATTTATGCTGTTATGTAACATCGAAAGCATTAGGAACATAAATGCAGTCTCTGTGTCTTCCTTGCTAGTGGGGAGGTAGTTGGGTTTATGGGATTTACAGAGAAAACACAGTATTACTTGAAATGCCAAAATCAGTGTCATTTCAGCTAATTCTCTGAAGGTGTGTTCTGACCAGTGTAATGTTCAGAAATACATAGGGAACTCTAATGGTTCACAATTAAAGCTGAGTCCGTTTGCTGCATGAGGTATTTGGGACCATTCTCTTAACAGTTTTACACGGTGTGAAGAACCTGCAGCAAAAGGGTAAGACATGGTGATCGTTTTTCATGAAGCTAAATATACCCATGAATAAAATTAACTCCAAGGTATCTTCTTCAAAAAATTAGTTCAGAAGGATATCGGCAAAGTATTTTACTGTGTACAATCAACCTGTACATAAGTTCTGCCACCAAGGACATTTTAGACCTGGAAGTCAAGTCTTGGACTTTGTCAACAGCAAAATTCCACTTGTGCTGAATGGTTTAGGAAACTTCTCTGTTAGGAAAATGCTAAAGATTTTTATGCAATAACGTCAGCATTTTAAGAAATGCCTGTATATCTATTTGTCTATATATAAGCCCACAGGCATTAGAATATTTGATTTTTTTTTCCATAGGTAACACTTATCAAAAAGATACATGATTATAATTTGACTGAAGTATCATTAATGTCTATTTTAGGGTTTCATCCCACTCTAGTTTATATGAGAGTTTGTCCACAGGCAACAAGAGACTGACAGAGCTATTAAACTAGTTAATCTAGAGAGTAAGACCTCAGTGAAATAATAAGCATTGCAGTCTTGCTGTGCCCACAGACAGCAGAGCTGAGGAGAAAGGAGACCCAGTGAAAACAATCTTTTTCGGTCTTCTTTGTATTCTGCCAGAAGAACTAAACCAGACATAACTAATGTTCCTGCCTTTCTATAATTATAATTTGTGTTCCTTCTGTCACTGTTGCAATGTTTTAGCCCTTGTTGTCATTCAGCATTGTTCACGTGATTGATTCAGCTTAACTAACTCTGGGTTTCTAAAGACTTGGTACCCTGGTCTAAGTTGCTCCCTGTAGACTGTCTTTCTAGTCAGTGAAGAGAGACAAGCACCTTCATAGAAGGAGCCATTTCACTTGGCAGTTTTAGAACTTGTTAGGTCAGTAATCTGTAAGATATTTTGTGTGTTAGGAACATAAAATCAAGGTATTTGTATTGAGAAAAATTAATTATTGATAGACTGTTGTCTGAAAAGAATAGAGCTTTACTTGGCATCTGCCTTCTAACCTGTGGTTTGTAAAACACAGTCCTCAACGGGGGACTTTCAGCAATAGGTATTGCTAAGGCTAAGAGGACCCAGCGTGAAATGTGGTGTGCCATACTGCAAATGTTAATCTTCTCTTATTTCCCCGCCTGCTTCCACAAAGTTATATTGCTTTCATATACCTAAAAGTAAGAAGAAAATATTCTGTTTCGGGAATTAGGCAGTAGGACTTTTTTTTATTAATCACCAGTGTATTTTGGTACATACTTACAATCTTAGAAAATTCGTTGAAAGGAGAGTTAGAAGCAGTGAAATTGTATTTCTGAATTTTTCATGATCATTTCTTCAGTTTTTGTCTGCCAATGCACACCACGGGATACAAGACTGATTATAATGTGCTCTCCTTTTGTTACTGGGTCAGTACTTCTAATTCTGAGCTTGTCTGCATCACTGGGAGTATCAGATAATTTACTCAGAAGGAGGCCTCTGACATGCTCAGAGTTACTTTACTCAGCAAAAAAGCGTTTGTGTAGAAAAGCTTATTGATTACTCTGAGGATGCAACTTAACTGTACTGAAGAGTCAGTTTGGGTCAGAGCGTATATTCAGGATCAGGAAATTAAGATGATTCTGTGTTGGAATGCGTATGCTATATGTGAAACAGATGACTTCTAAAAGGATTCAGTGCTATTTAGAATAAGCATTCACTGCCTAGATTTTTTCGTCTTTCTTTCTCTGTCTTTCCCCAAACCTTCTTCCTTTAAAGAATTTTTTAAAAACTAAAATTGTAGCATATGGAAACAGATTTGATCAATTTTGTCTAATTTGAAACAGCAACAAGTCATTTTGAAGTGTACTGGTTAAATATACCTAATGTGTATATGCATGGGTGAGTAGACTTGTGTATGTCCTGATTCTTGTCTGTGCTTTAGACAGCAGATTGTGCTACCGAGTCAGTGTCTGCTGCTAGAATGCTTATCTGATGTAAATTTACAGAAATTGTATTCAACAAATCACTGTATTCTACTTTTTAAACATCTTGCCCTGACCCACTCAGGGCATGCTATCTGCAAAGGGGAGAGGCACAGTGAAGGATTGCTCTGGAGAGCATTTTGCTCGTATTGGGATTAAACTGCATTTAAGAAGCTGTGCAGAAGTGAGCATCTTTGTAAATTGTTTTGTGCTAAAGTTGTTATGTTTCTTAACCTTTCAGTGGATAGGACTTAAGATGTGAAAATAAGGGAAAAGTGAACTAATTGCAAGGAATTTTAGTCTCTCTTTTTTAATACTTACCACTGTTTCTGTTCTTTGTTTTGTTTCCAGTTACAAGAAAACCCATGAGACCCTGAGCCATGCAGGACAAAAAGCAACAGCAGCAATCAGCAATGTAGGAACTGCTATCAGCAAGAAGTTCGGAGATATGAGGTATAGGGTTCTGCTGCTTCTGTGGTCTTATTTTGAGGTCAGAAAGTATAAGTCATCTGTCCGCTCTTCTTTTCCTTCTACATTAGTGTTTTAGAGGTTCAAGTAGTTTGTACTCAGAATATATTATAACGTTGATGGTGTCAACCAAAAATAAGGGATAATGATGAATGAAGATATAATTCTTATTTGAGTGAGCCCAGGTTTAAAAAAAGAGTGCAATTTTAAATCCTTTTGGAATAATTTTGCAAGGTCAAGGAAGTGTACAAGTAAAATGGAACAAAAAATTTAAAAAATACTTCAGGCTGGTTTTCATCAGCTTTTTCAAGATGTACAAAGGCAAAGTTTTGTTCTGCAGTTACATGTATAAAAAAAGATATGATGAAAGTAACAGGAGTTGAGGTCAGGAGAAGAACTGTCATTTAAATGGAACATAAATGTCAAGCTTTATATGTTGCTGTATCTTTAAAAATATTGATCTTAAAGTTCCTCAGAATGACAGCATAAATGAAGACAGCACTTTGGTTTTTGACTTGGTAGCAGGATTACAGAACTTCTCAGGTGTATGAGGGAGCTGACTGTTTTTGTGATGAAATAAATGGACACAGATAACTGAGCTGCAGAATTAAGGTCTCTAATAAATGAGAGACTGGTATGTACTCACTTCTTTGGTCATTTTGTAATGTATGAGGTAACCTTAAGGACTGTGTGAATCCATTTCACAGTATTTCAATTTTTTTTTTTTTTTACTGCAAACGGCTAAAGCATAGTTCTTGGCAGCTAAAACTTATTTTTTCCACTTTTTATACTGAATCTTAAGAAATTTTGAGTCCTTCCTTCGTACCTACCTTTTACATACATCTTAATAAACCCTCTACAGAAGTACTACTGTTTTTCTAGGTGAAACTGAAAATGGAAGATCTTCATCACTGTATGATTTGCTTTACAGTGTCTTTTTCCACATAGCAGTTTAAAATGGAAATCCAGTGAGTGACTTGCAACCAGAGTGCAAACATGAACTAAGAATTGTTTGACTCGATACAGTTAAACATCCATAGATAGTATATGTCTAGAAAAGGATATAAGAATAAGGAGGCATGCAATTACATTTTCCTAGTACACTTTTTAGCACTGAGCAATCTGAGAGCTGAAAACTTTCTAAAACAGAGGTTTGAGCTTTCATTTAAATGTCTTTGAAGGGTTTTTCCTCATGATTTTTCTGTTTCTTTAAATTCATTTTAACTCGTATGAGCTTTTGACATTCATAATACCTCATGCCTTCCCAGATGAAGAGATAATTATGTTGTAAAGAAGTGTGTGGTTTATTTGTTCGTTCATTCATTCCCTATTCTGAGTCTCCCTGGTCTTTCCTTTGATGCCTTCTGGCTCTTCTATTACAAGAAACAGTGAGTGTAGTCCTTCTGCTGTCCTTCCTGTCACTCATTATTTCCTGTGGTTTTATTGTATTTCACTTCAGTTCCCTCTTTTCCAGGCTGAGGCTCCAGTTGCATGAGTTGCTTTCACAAGCCTTTTTCCTACCCATGTTTATTCTTACTGCTTTCCCTGCATTTATAGTTGTATTCTGTATTTCTGAGAAATGCATGAGATGCTTGTGCTGCATGTGTCACCAGCATATCCTCTGTTTCATTTTTTGTTCTTTTCTAACACTTCTCCTGTAACAAAGACAAGCCCACTGCTCAGTGAACAAGTCCTGTTGCTGCTTCCATGCTTTAGATCCTACAGCAGTGACCAGAGTTGGCGTGCAAATACCTTGAACGCTGCCTCTTCATCATAGAGGGAAGGATGATTAACATTTCAGTACTTCTCAGGTCTTGCTGCTTGTGCTTTGCATAGGGTATGAGATGAACTGCAAAGGCAGAAACGTCTTCACTGTAATACAGCATGTTTTTCCTTTAATGTTTCCCTTAATTAATCACTGCTACCAAATTCCTTTGTCCTACCTATCAGTACCAACCCCCCACCCCCATGGTGATCTTGCTTCTGACTGGTGTTTGGAAAGCAAATGGGTGGTATTTATCCCATTAGCCCTTTAGCCACAAAGCAAAGGCTGAGTCCAAAAGCATTTTGATTAAGTGAGAGGCTTATTTCTAGTACTTTTCTTTGAGCAAAAATATTGCCTTGAACCTGCTTCGGAATTTTTCGGGAAAATGGGATCTACCAGCACTGCCATTTTTTGTGGATGCTTATTGTTTTCAATTAAGTTCTCAGCTAGGAGAGTTTTCATACTTGATGATGAAGCAGCAAGCAGTGCAGCCAGTATCCCATAGCTACATAAAGCATGGCATGACTTGGGCCTTCTGTATCTGCTGACCATCCTGACCTGGAGTAGTGGTCAGTATGCTTCCCTCAGCAACAAACCTGGCCTAAGGTCTTGGCTCAACTTGAGCAGATGCTGTCGTGTGTTGGAGTCACACTGTAAACCTTATCACCTGGTTTTAAAAATCTTCCCCTCTGCTACTCCAATTCCAGCCGTGTTTGGGGGAGTACACTGTAAAGAGGCATGCGGTTTTTTGTTTCATTGTTTGCTTACTTTTTTGCTAATCCAAATCATATTATGTCCGTGGTGGGTGTAGTATATGGATTATCACCACCCACTCTGACTTAATACTCTTGGTTAGGCATTAAGGCTGATGGTCACCAATGGCATCCAGATGCAAATCCGTGTTCTGCTTACATTCAGAGCAGACACTTGAAACTGATTTCTAAAATCCTGACGATCATCATAATTCCTGGTATTTTCAGCAGTCTGGTGTGTTTGGCCTTTACCCCCTGCCTATGGTCACAGTAATTTTGAAACAGCTTATAGTCAGCCTGAGTCTAAATATTGAAGCCTGCCTTCTTTGTGAAACAAAATTCTGTTTTCCAGGTTGCCTGCTATGTCAACTGTACAGAGCAGCGCACAAAGCACATATTTCTGTTCTGAAAATACAGGGTATTAATTTTCACCTTGTATTATCTCTACGAATATTACTAATATATCATAGATCAGCAACAGGCCAGATAGACTACCCTGAATGTGCTATTTTGCTGTGTTAGAATTCAAGAACGTGGAATCTACAAGAAAGAAAAATGCTAAAACAGAGAAGCCACCCTTTTGGGACAAAGTGCTTTTCATGCAGCTGCTGCGCTTCTCTTTCATCCCCACCCCAGCTTCCCAGTGTTGCAACTTTCTAATTCAGTTTGTGCATGAATAATCACTAACATTTTACATTTCTAAATTTTTGAGTAATTATTAGGGTTTGTAAGGTCTCTTTGCAGTTGTAATGCATTCTATTTAATATTATCATGTTACTAGAAATACCAGAAATGCCTATAAAAATAGTATACAAATACTTCTGCTTTAGGACAGAAAAGAGGCACTAGTAATACAGTAAAAATAATACATTCTTCCTGAATAGCTCTTGTCATTGATGATATGCCATCAGGATTTTTTGTAGCCTCTCCATCCCCAGCTCATATTGTCTCCTTTAACATTTTCTGACGTGGAGAAGGAAGGCAAAGAGGAAGAGGAGAATCCCAGGTCCCTCATAGGGCGGTAGCGTGGGCTCAGATCTCTCAGCAGTAGAGGTTACAGTAACATTTCAGCATGGATCTTGCCACGTAGAGCACAGACGTGATACAGAGTTGAGGGTCTTTATCCCTTGTGCCTTTGCGTATTGGTAAAGTCTGGATCTTTTCATACAGTACTGCTGGACTGCTCTGCAGCTGTCTGTGTGGATCTAAGACTTTCAGCCCTACTGATGGCTTTTTTGGAAATAAGTTGTGAAACCAAGTGGAAGACTTCCTGCTTTTCTGGTTCGCTTAAAAAAAAAACAACCAACCAACCAACCAAACTACATACACTACACTGCTACATGCACACTAACAAAGGCATGCACGCAAATCAGGATGTCAGCAGTTATACTGCTTATACATCCTTCGTTCAACTGTCTCGTACATTTTCTTTAACTACATGATCACACAGACCCCTTTCAAATTCAGTGCCTGGGATGAACCAGCTCTGATAGATGATTGAAGGTAATATACTGGCTCGTTCCTGCCAGGAGTTGGAAGACTCATGTGGAGAGAGACAGAAGACTGCAGGGAGGGATAGCTTGGGGACATGAATGTGACAGTTGAATGTACCCTTCAGAGATGATGGGAATAGGCACAGAAGGCATATGAGGTCCCAGGGGGGGTGGAGGAAGGCAAAGTTCATCCCTCTGGAAAGGGTCAAGGAGAGTTCTGGGAAATACAAAGCAGATAGTGGGGGAATGCATTAACCTTCTGTTTTCTAAGTGTCTAGAAGATAACGTGATGGCAAAAACATAAAAGCATTTGTCAAGAACGATTATCTTGAACTGACAGCACCTGTCATGGAGGACAGAGGGGAGGCAGGAGATGTGATAGAGCTTGATTTTGATAAGCTGTCCATGCTGTTCACAGAACTGGAGAAATACAGCTTAGGTGTTACTGCTTTAGCAAGAAGAGGGCATAGGGAGTTGAAAATGATATTCAAATAATAGATCTCAGCAGCTCACCGTAATGCAGGATTTTGCAGGCATCTGTCCTGAGTCTGTTATTCTTCAGCATTTTCACTACTGGTTTAGATGATGGTATCATGGTACACCCTGGATGACTGCAGTGGGAGGGAATACAAACACTTTAGACACCAGGATTAGAATTCAAAATTATTTTAAATGTTAAAATAAAATTCAGTGTAGGGAAGTGTAAGGTGCTTTATTGACAGATGGAAAAAAATCAAAAGCAGAGATGGGAAGTACCAACCAGCCAGCTTTGCAGGCAAGGGCCTTGCAAGTGCTAGGCTAGTGGCTCACAACAGCAGCTGAACAGGGGCATAGATTATTTCTGAAGGCTGTGAAATCTCTCTCATTGAAAGTTTTTAGAAGCAGGTTAGGCCAATATCTGTTGGCGATGGCTTAAGTATAATTCATCTGCTTTAGTGCTGTGGGAGTTGATTTTTGCTGTGCTTTTATTGTTGTGCCTTTTTGAGTTTTTTGTTGCGGTGGTGAAGTTTTTGCACAGCCTTTGACTGTGCATTTCCAGGATTTCTCTGCTCTAGGGATGTTCTGGGCACTTAAAACTGTTGCTGAACTCATTGGGAGCTGAATTCCTTGAAAATACTGTATCTGTCATACCCAAAAATATCATTCTTAAACCTCTGGGTCTCTGATATATCCCCTATCAAAGAAATAGTAATTCTGTCTTGCTTCAGAAGGTAATTTCATAAGCATTTCTTTTGCTGATGGGTGAAGCAGTTGTTTTCTCTCATTTCTACTGACACTCTCCCTTCATTTGTGCTGGTTTTTAGAGCTCTGCAGTAACAGTTTTCTTGATCATATGGCTGCACAAGTATCTGTATTAGCATGGAGAAGGGGGTGGCTGTTAAGTAGGAGTCAGCAGGTAGTAAAAGGAGACTATGTATGGCAACAGTATTACTTAAGCTGGCCTAAGCAGAAGTATGTTGTGAAGATAAATTCATGAATGTTTGAGAAGCACTAATATACATGATGATGAGCCCTGTAAATAACCCTGAAAAAATCAATGCTTTTTTTCAGAGCAAGGTATGAATATTGTGCAGGAAATCATGCATCACACCACACATTGAAAAAGGATGTGAAAAATAAGTATGGAAGAGTACACCATCTATCTGGCTCACCGCATGAGGCAGGTGTTTCCTTGAAGTGGTCTGTAATTAAAGACTACATCAATACACACAGATGAAGGAGAGGCTGCCTCATCATTTCTTGACTTTGGAACCTTAATGACATCCTTTGAATATTGTATATCAGTGCACCTCTCCCAGTTCTGCTGCCTTAATTAAGTTTCTTGTGAGCTGGAAAACAGTGTCAAAGTGTTTCAAATATTGTTTTCAACAAGGAAGAAGTATTTTTGAAAATGTCATTTTAGGAATTAAAAGCCCCTTGTTTTTTCCATACTCTTCTCAACTGAGAGATGATTAAGAAATCCAGAGGGGGGAACAGAGACATTTGCTGCTGATGTACATGTACAATTCCAGTTCACCTATACTTTAATGAGATTAAGGTAGGATTTTGGGAGGGAAACCAGTTAGCATTGTTTAAATCCGATCTAATAAAGAGAACACAAAGTTTAGCAGATAAAACTTCCATTCTTTGTTGCACACAGAATAGGTGACTGTGTAGTGAAGGAGTGTGTGAAAATTTTTTCTTTGAAGGAATCTGAACTGATCCACATTCTAGTGTGAATTCCATTATCAAGGTTTGAATGCAAATGATTTTTTTTCTCCTTGGATAGTTTGATATTCTACAGAAATGTATGTATATTTTTGTTACATTTTCATAATGCTTTTAACTCTTGCTTTTCTTTCCTTGTGCATCCACCACAGATCGCATTCAATTGGGTAAGACACATTACTCTCCTTGAATACTGCCTCTGTTTTTGACAGAATTTGTTTTATGGAATATAATGCGGTAACCTCATTCCTTTCAACATCCTTATGTAGGATATAAAAACATTTGCTACTTAAACTGTAATGCCTCAGCATGGTGAGTGTAATGAGGAAAGGACTAGTCTAAGTGTTTGCCGTGCTGTTGAGTAGGTTAGTCTCGAATTCAAATAATGAACACATTCAAAAGATGTTGCTCTTGGGAAAACCTATTTATATGTAATCCCATTCTCTCAACCATCTTCCTCTGTCAGAGGTTGGACTGTAAACAAACGCACACTAAAAATTGTGTTCAGCCATCAGAATTTTATAAAGATTGTATAGAGTATTTAATTACCTCCTTTTAAATAAGGCAAAAGTATATTAGTCATGAAGTGTACTCAGTGACTCTTTAAAAGTCTTGAGTCCTGGGGAAATTTCCGGTAGTAGGCCACGTTCTTAACATGATTAAGAGGGTTCTTTAGAGCTTGAATTTATTGATGCTATAAAGCACTCCAGTATATGATGAATTATAAAACAATTTTACGTGTGCTCAAAGATTCTGTAAGCAGTCTGGCTTTATGTCATTTCACCCGCAGAGGGGCTGAACAGCCCTGAGTCCCCTGCAGTCCCTCTGGTCTTGGAGCATCACCAGTGCACAGGAAAGCTCAAGAACCTTTTCTCTGTTATATGAAGTGATCCTGATATGGACTCTTACTTCACTGAGAAAGCTTCAGAATGGGGCATAGGTTGACCTTCCTATCTTATTTTGACATTAAACAAAAATGTAGTATTTAGTAACCTTTGTCATGAAGGATCTCTGTTCTCTGCCTCTGCACTGATCACTATTACAGATGTGTGTCTTTAAAAAATCTTAACGTTTTAGGCTTCTAGTAAAAGAAGATGTCACTGTTGCTGTAATCCTTACCTCTTTAGAGGAATTACAAGAGGAACTCTGTAAAACATGCATTCAGTATTCAAACTGTGTATCACATGCCATCTCTCAGCTGTGCAAATTTAATTTGCCACAGTGTAATCTTCTTTCCTAAACCTTTGTATTTGGAATGTTTTGCTATTAGAAGAGGAGCAGCCTATGCTGAAATACTTCCAATCTCTTGTTTTTGCCTGTTTGTCATGTGTTACAAGACTAAAATGGCAAACATGCTTGTTTCATTTAACTAGGATTTTTAAAGATCTGCTGTACTTGTGAAATATTTGGGCTGATCTTTCTTAAGTCTTAAAAAGGGTATAAGAAATTGAACATGAAATATTTGCATTGTCTGCTGTCAGTTTGTGTATGTCTGAGCTTAGCAGAAGCCTTAAAATATATACAACAGCAAATAATTAGTATAAAATCTCTCTGTCCCACCTGCATGCCAAATAGCTCTTTCCTTCCTACCCTCCCCCCTACCCCTTTTCTGAATCTTTAATCTGGAGAAAAAAACAAACAAACAAACAAAAAAACCAAAACAATTTACGTGCATATGCACACAGTGCTGCTCTGAATTTATATAGTTTAGAACAAATACATGTGCTGTTTATATGAGAGCTTTCATATCTAATGCTATAATCATGCTTGGCTTGATTTCAGCCAAATGTTAGTGTCCCTTAAAGTAAAGCTCTCACTGTTTTCAGTCAGACCAGGCTACAGCTGTCAGTCAACACTGAAAGTAGCCACACATGTATTTTTGAAACAGTACGTACTCTTGCAGTGCACAATTTACTTATAACGTTCAGCTCTAAATGTACTTATGGACAGTTCTCACACTTCAAATAAAGATTCATACTCAGAACAGGCTCGATGCTTTGCAGCAGCGGGGAATGGGTGACGCTCTGATGGCAGAGTTGGCTTTGGTGGCTCCGGTGGGAGAATGTGGTTGATGTAAGTCGAGCGGCTAGAGTGGGCAGCCATCTGCAGGGTTAAAGGTGTGCAGGGTGACCTGGGGATCTTTGAGTGATGCAGAGGCTCCATCCTCTGCTTGCCAACCTTCCAATACTCTGGCTGCTGGGAAGTCTGAGGAGGGAGGCGTCGCAAAGAGAGCTGGACAAGAGCTGTGAAAAACAGCTTTCTACCCTTGGTAACGTTGAGGTGTGATGGAAGAGGTGAAATGCCCTAGAGAGATGGGGACATCAGCTGCTGCAGCTGAGGGAGCTGCCTCTCTGGTTGAAGAAACCTCTTGTTTAGTAGCCTGTTGTGCAGGAGTCTGTACAGATTGGTGGCTGGCACTGGCTATTTGGATTGTATACGTTGTACATGCAGCAAAGGCAGTTGCCCACTTGCCTGCAGCCTTGAGCCAGCTCTGTTTATGTTGGCAAACCCGAGGCATGCTGCACTCCCCCAACACAGAGCTTATCATCTGTCACTGCGGAACAGGGAGGTAGCTCTCTGTTCCTCTGCCACACGTCTTCGTAGGTAGCAGGGGTCTATGTCATTTAAATGGATATTGCCAGAAGCTGTTTTGCATCATTCTTTTGGGTCCTATTAAATTGCTGATCAGTTGACATGAGAATGAGGTGGTAAGATCTTCAGTGCTGAAAGTGAGCTGGAATTCACAGGTGAGTTTGATAAGCTGTTGCCATCAGGAAAGGAATAGTACCAGCACACTTGAAAATATGTATATATATTTTTAAAATTAAAAAAAAAAAAAAAAAAAAGTTGTAATTATGTTGCAGACTGGGTTTTACAGCTTACTTTCCTTCTCTTTTGCTTTCATCCCACAGTTATTCCATTCGCCATTCTATAAGCATGCCTGCAATGAGGTAATATGCTACCCGTATTCTGTTTGTCATGGTGATGTTCAGCAGCGTTGTAATGAGGGGGGATTTGCATACTTTGATCCTGATCCTGCAGTTTTTAGTTGGATGAATAGTCCCGCTTCAGTCAATTAAGGTTATTCGTGTAGGTGAGGGCTGCAGGACAGGCCATCTGTGTTTTTTTCCTTTTAATTGTATTAACTGTTTAATCTCTTGTACAAGCCTTTGAGTAAATGAAGCAGATCTGAGATGTATTTGGGTAGCTGATTGACATCAGGTTTGTATTACTGAATCTGAAATTCAGTTGTTTTGTTCCCTCTAGAATATCATCCAAAGCCCATTAACGTCAGAGATGCTTTCCACTCCAGCAGGCTTTGGATCATGCTCCTATGGAGGGATTTTATATGAGTGCTTTCATATTTTAATGGCTGTAATCATGCTTTACTTGACTGCAGCCAAATATTGATGTCTGTTCAAGTAAAGCTCTGATTGTTTTCAATAAAATTAGGATCCAGCTTTCTTTTTAACCCCTTGGCCTCTAACTATATGAATATCCCCACTCCCTGCCAAGCGTGTGGGGAAAACAAATCTCCTAACTATACGAGGGATGATAATTCATTCAACTTCAGCAGGTGGGTAGTTTAAGGCCAGTGTTCGCCGGTGTGATCTATGAGTTAAATGCAAATCATAAAACTCAATTTCTCTCTCCTGTTGACTCTTGCCCTGTTTAACAGAAACCAAAATGAAATCTGCATTATTTTTCCAACTGGCTTCCTTTTGCCCTTTCCTTAAATTAGGGCCAGTTTAACTTAGCCTGATGAGGGATATGATGTAAATGTATTTGCACAAATAGAGGCCATCATCATGCTCCTGGTAAGTTCCCAGAATGTGCAAAGGTGATGAATAGGAACACTAAAATTGTAGCAGCTGTTGGCTTCATCACTTCGCAGAATGAAGCGCAGGCTCCTGCATGTGTTTGCCCTTCCCTGTGGCTGGCACAGACGCAGGTGAGCCTGCCAGGGTAAAGTGGTTCTGCCTCATTGTTCCACTGGGAAGGTACCTTCTGTTATGGTTAAAGATCACTGTTACGTTTTATTTCGTGTAGGAACAAATAGATATAGTGAGTATCACTGTTATGTTTTATTTCGTGTAGGAACAAATAGATATAGTGGGTTTTGTCCATCCTGGTGGCCAGGTTGTTAGCAATTACCACTGCCCTTTCAGTGGTAGTAGTTTCTATAATCTCTTTCTGAATAAACCACAATAGACAGGTGAAAAAAAAAAAAAAAAAAGCTGAAGAACTAAATACTCAATTAAGTAACTGCTTCATTATACTGCACTGGGCTTAGAGAGATCCTGTCACCACTTTGTTTCTTGTGGTAAAGAAAGTACAAGAGGAACCCTGCTGGACAACGGTCTCTGGCTGCAGAGTCTTCACTAATAACGAAGCACAAAGTATGCTGTAACTGAGCTCTCAGCTGTCAAGCAAGGAGCAGAGAGCAGGAAGAAAGTCCTCTTCACCCTCTGTAGATTTGTCCCAAGTCCTTTGTGCTGGTTGAACTGCTGGAGGAGGAGACAAGCTTTTATACTCACGCCAGCTTGCTTGTTTCTAGCATGTCATCTTTCTACATGGGACAGAGACTGTCAGCAGTGGGGAAGCTGCTGTGAAGAGGGGAGAAGAGACATTCATCTTATGCAACTCAACTGAGGGGCAACTTGAGTACAGATCTCTATGGGTTACCATACTCTCACTTCAAAACACTGAGTTTAAAACAGACAATATTATATTCATAATATTATGTGGCAGATATTGGTTGTGGTCAGTATGTTCTGTTTGCAGGAAGAGATTTAAAAAATTTAATGCATTTAAAATGAGAGAGAAGCTATGTTTAAAGTTTTGGCAGAAGGAAAGAAGGAAAGAGAGAGAAAGAAAAAACAAGGTTATCAGGCAAGCCAGCAAACCAACTATGTGATTTGCTTTAAGAAGGAAAATCACAGCTGTTGCCTTTTTTAAAATTATTTTAAGATATGTTCAACTCACAGTTTTCCCAAAACCATTGTTGTTTTCTGTTCCACAGGGAGTGAAAGGCAGGGAAGAGCTCGTCTTTGTCATAGGGGCACCCCTGGAACAGAGTCTCCCTAAAGTCTTTGTCTTTGAAAGCAGCAAGATACACAAAATCATCAAACGGGGTGGGTCAGGATTCCTCAAAGGCATTTGGGACCCAATTCCTATGTAATTCTAATCTCCTTCAACCTAGCTTCAGGACATTAAACTGTCATCTTTTTAATTATGTATATTATAAACTTGCTCATCAGCTGAAAAAAAAATGTTGATTTTATTACAGCAACAGCACAAATGGATAAAGCCATAGAAATGCAGCACTACAGTCAGCATTCCCCGATTGTTCTTCTGAGAACGTGATAAATTTACCAGAGGGACAGGCAGGCCAGTTACTGATTTCAATTACTAGGCAGGTTCTGCTTTTGCAAATTTGTACTCATCTGCTTACTGTAATTGGGTTTGAGTGGCAGAGCACAAGAGGCTGGTCATTCCCTGCCAGTCTGTAGCCCTGTGCTGCCAGCCAGCCATCATCAGCCTTGCTGCCTGGTAAGAACTGATCAAATTGTGGAGTTACCCCATTATGATTGCAACTGACTCTTCTTTCCTTCAACTTTCTTTTCCTCCTAGGAATTCTCCAACTTTCAAGTCGTTTGAGGAGAAGGTTGAGACCACTGTTACAAGCCTTAAGGTAAAAGTTGGACTCCGAGTTACACGGCTGCGCTTGTTAAAGCAACAGCTTAGTTGTCGCTATCATTGGTACAGGAGACAGCTTGAATTCGCTGTCCCATCAAGAATTTCATGGAACTGCAAGAGCACTAATGGAAAATGAAGGCAATGTGCAGAGAAATAGTCTCTCTCTGCTTTGTTACTAAGAAATTACTTGTTGTCTGCCAAAGTAAACAAATGGTCTCAGAAATGCCCAAAATATGGTCATACTAAAATGGAAAGCAGAAGCATCTCATGAGGTGTGACCACGGCTGATTATGCTGTGCAAGGCAGAGCCATGGGGAGATGCAAGGTCAGATTATGAAAGCAGTGTGGCCTCGTGAGCCTTGTGCAGTGCCCTGCCAGATGGAGACGTGTGCCTGCAGAGTGAGCTGCCATCCCCGAGCTACTCCCCCTTCAGTGCTAGAGATGTACTCGCCAAGTGGCTCCATACTCAGCTGGTGTAGATGAGTAAAATGAGTAAGATCCCTTACTCGTTCTTTAATGCAGGTGTGTTTCCTCTCAAATTCCAATGTTTTGTCTGAATTCAAAATTTCAAAACTATATTGACATATTTGCTGTGGGACAGGAAGATCTGATGACAAAGCTACCAGTTACCACTAACAGCACTTGTTAAGGCTCTTATTCAGCAGGACAGAGCATGGCAAATTTGCAGTGAGCTGATCTCTGCTGCATGGCGAGGCACATTCAAGGTGGGGAACAGGAGGGTTTGACTCCTAATGGTTCTTCTTCATCAGATAAAGTCAGGTGTGCTCATGAAATGGCATTTTACTTTGCTGTGATAGGAAGATTCCAGTGCATTCCAAGCACAGTCTGTTAGTGGGCAAGGGACAAATTGATCACCCCTCATTTTAGGGGGAACTGAAAATAGTAGGTTAATGCCAAAGGGTATTATAGCTTGTAAAGCATTAAAAAAGCAAGAAAATGGCCTTCCACTTGGGACAGAAGGACGTTCCTTGTTACAGAAAATGCAAATTACAGCTAGAACTGAAGCAGCAGGTGCACAGGGCTTTTCCACGCCACTGTGAAATCATATAGTGGGTAAAATTTTCCAGTCAGTGTCTGAGGAAAGCAGGCAGCAGAGAGCTTGATTTATGTTTCTAAAGACCCATGTCCATCAAAGAATGGAGATTTGCTCTACCATTTTCACGTTTTGAATGTTCACATTTATTTAGTGATGGGCTGTTCTGACAACTTTAAGTTTTGCTAGTGTAAGGTAATGTCACCTCCATTGCACCATGCCAGAGAAGGAAACATCATCTCAGTTTCACAGGTGAGAGGCAGCATCCCAAGGAAGACGAGGAGCCACAACAGAACACAGGCTTGCAGAGCCCCAGCTCAGTGCCTGTCTACACCTTCCTATTCATTCTTTTCACCGTAGGTGCAAATGCTTTTTATGCTACACTCAAGGAGGAACCATTCATACAGTCGTGTGCATCAGCCTGGAAGGTCTGAATTCCTGTTTGTCACTGTCAAGTGTATCGCTTGCTTATCTCTTTGTTCCTTCTACACATTTAGATAAGGGATGCAGCTCACTGGAACACCCGAGGTCTGAAATGGATTGATTTTTTTTTTTTTTCCTTTGCATTTTTCATCACTCACAAGTTAGAAGAAACTACACTGGAGAAGTGCAGCACTTTTGGGACCCATTTAGTCACTAAACCTTCTCTCAGGGCTTTCAGTAGTACCTCTAGATCCCAAGCTTGGTTCTAGACTACTCTAGACTCCACAAATCCATTCCTCCTACACTTATTGCCAACCTGTGAGAGGGACAGCTTAAAGCCTTTTGCTTTGCTTTGAGGGTTAAAGGACAAATGTGAGTGATGTCCTCTCAGCAGCAGGGGTGGCGTGTCTATTTCCAGTCACCTCAGCGTGTCATTCAGAAAGAGAAGTCAAGTCAAACTGCACAGCTCTGAAGATCATTTCTTCTCAAAGTGATCTGCTTGAAGAGCCTGATCTTACTCTGCTTGATTAAGCGGAGGATTCTTCCAGAGGAGACTGTCCTGCCAGCTTCTAGCCTGTCATGTTCAGGGTGCTCCTAGATCATCTTTTAAAGAATCTTTAGTTAAGCAGGACAAAACGAAAAGTCTTGAGTCTAAAGTCATCTTCCACATCCCATGAAACCTTCATTGTCCATCTTTATTGGCAAACCCACTGACATTTTCTGAAATATTTTCTCTCTGTACTCTCTTTCTTTCATTTCTTTGTGTAAATGAGGAAAGGAAGGTGGAGTCATGGACCTAGGGTGCCACCAACATAAGCTGTGGACAGCTGGGAGTGTCTCAGCACTCTTCTTGCTTTTCCCTGCCCCTGTTGCAAGGCTTGCAACATTTGGAAGGCAGCGGTGGTGGGCGTGGGGGTGGTGAGAAATCATAGGCTGTCTCTCCAATTCTAGGATCCTGTTACGGTCTGAAAAAGTGGAGAACTTCCCAGAGAGGCTTCTGAAAAAAGAACAGCAGTAGCCTTATCACCCACCCCCCTCCCCAGCCACGTTAGCTACAGATCTTCAGTGGTCCTACAACGCTCTGGAGTGAGCCAAAACTGATGTTCTGATTTTACACATTTAGAAGTCAGATTTCAAATTAGATTTTATTTACTCTTGGAGTTTGGGTTTCAGCTTTCTTAAGAGAGTATATTAGTTCAGCTTCCCCTGGAAATCAAGAGGACCTGGATGGCCAACTCTCTTCAGCTTTTCTGAAAATCAGAACACTGATGAATGAAATGTTTGCGTAAACACCGGGGTACTGGCCAGAGGCATTCAGTAAAGTGACTGACTTACTCTTCCACCTGAAATCAAGAATGATGTAAGCAGAAAAACAAGTAGAAAATGAAACTGCATTTATGTTTCTGATTTTAAGGTGTCCAAATTCAGATGCACCTTATCTGAATCATTTGAAAGAGTGCAGGAATACTTCCACAATCGCTCTGTTCAGTTCAAATCAGTTTTCTTTTGAGAACTTTAATTGGCAAATAAAAGTGGCTGCCTTTTCACTGCCAGTTTGGACCTACTAACATTTAACAATATGTGTATTTGTATTGCTGTTTGCAAAATTCAGTGATGGACTGATAACTTTCTGGAAGTCAGCACAGCCCACTAGACTGGATGCAGATACCTCTTGAGATGGGAACTTCCAAAAACTGTGACTCAGACTATCAGAGCAAATATCAAGCCTAGTACTACCTCATTTTATTTTATTCTCAAGCTGGACAAGCTCCTGTGATAGTTGATGGTACAAAGGATTACGTAGGATTAACCCTTTGGAAACCTAGGACACAAAATTGATTTAATTCAGATAATCTTCCTAAGCATACAGTGGCTGACAGGCTGGAAAAAATGCCAGCTTGTCTTTAAGTCTTGCTGTAGTTCTGGGATGGAGTAAAAAGTTCTGCCCCATTTTCAGGCTTAACTCAACTTCAAGTGGGCATATCAGCAAGCCAAGCCATAAAAGAACGTTCTCTTACCAGGAAAACCCAGTCAAAACAGCTGTCTCTGTTACTTAGTCTTGACCATTTCCAATTCTTTAGATAAAGTTCTGTCTGCTTGTTTTATTCTTTGGTTACTATATTCCATCTACTGTCTGAAATCCCAGTAATATTTAGGTGTTTTGAGAGCAGCTGTGCTACCACTGCTGGCGGATGGACCACCTGAAAAGGGAAGTGACCCAGTTGGTTTTAATACCCATCTCTTATTCGGCTTCTGCAGAACCGGAAAAAACAGGGGAGCCTGTGTGAGCTACTCATATGAAGAACTGCACTAAGTTTACTGGTAGGATCTAGGATCCTGCCTGGGATCTACTTAGGGACTGGTTAGGATCCTGCCTGGGATCTACTTGGGGACTGGTGCCTTTAAGCGAATGATAAATGCCACTGGCAGATTTTATGGTTGCAACCTAGGAGTTTAGGAATTGAAGGAGGAAAGGGGTTGCTTTATTTGACTGGTTTTATAGCTTCTGTTCTAAGAAAAACCCAACCCTACGTGTTCTCTGCCTGCTTTGAACAGTTCCCAGCCCCCCACGGCCACGGGGTGCAATGCAAATGGGACTCGCTACACAGGGTGAGCAGGGGAACTTGCTGTTCTCTTTGTTTGCCTTCTTTCAGACCAAGGTTGGTGGGACAAGCCACACAGGGGGCAGCTTTGAAGAAGTTCTCAGCTCTACAGCCCACGCCAGCGCTCAGAGCTCTCTTGCTGGCACCCGACTCCCTGAGAGCGAAGAAGAGCTTCAGTGTTAGACCGCAGGCCCTGCTGAGCCTCCCCTGCCTCTTCAGAGACTTGCCTAGCCAGTGATTTTTAGACCTCCCTCGCTATCCAACTCATGCAACAATGTTTTGCCAGCTGTGGAAAATTGCCTCCCTGGCCTTGTGCTGGAGAAATGTTTCCTCGTTCTATTTGTATTTTAGATGGGCCGTTCTGTCATCAGGAAACCACCCGCAAGTTGTTGACTTAAAATGCTCTACGTTAAGTGACCAAAGTAGTTTTAATTTTCATGTAACTTCCTTCCAACAATCTTCCAGACTCTGTTTCTTACTTCTGTTAGTTTGCTGTTTTCTAGCTGTTGGTTTCCAACTCCCCTCTCAGTGCCACATCAGACAGATGGACCTAGAGCTGTGCAAAGGTTTCTACTGCCAGCAACAGTCCATACACCAGCTGTCTACCAGCCATACCGGGTGCCCTTTGCTCAGGAGTGTCTGTACATGAGTTGTTTCTTAACAGAATTAAATCACTTGTCACAAACAGTTTTTTCTCCTTCACTGGTACAGTCTGGCATTGCCCCCCACCCAGAGTTGAGGAGGACAGGAAGAGACACCCGGTTATTCATACAGAAACTGATCACAGCTGCTGATTTAAGATGGACACTGTAGGTGGAGAAGCTTCAGTTTAAAAATCCGTTCAATAGCTTGCTCCCTGTGGCTTGGTAAGACTGGACAGTGTAAGTTAATTACAAAAGGAAGTGGAACAGAGGGAACCTCTCATATTTATGCCTCCATATCTTCCCTTCAGAAATAAGGGAAGGTTTATTTTTGAGCCTCAGTCAAGATACAGCCTTAAGTGACCGAATACAAAACCAACAACTGGCTTCAGACATGCCATAGGTTAGCAAGCCCACGCCTTCAGTCCGCATTTCAGAGCTGCTAGTGTAAACCCCGGGACCTTGCCATCCACAGGACGAGTAGGAACTTCACTTTCGGTGTCAAATTCTGTCATGCTTCGCTCCAGGACGCAATTCCACCAACCGCATTGCAGCTGCTTAATCACCAAGAGCCAGTCATCTCTCAGCTTCGATTCAGCATGTTTTCTTGCATCCTTTTAGCATTTTTTTTTTTCTAAGAAAAGAGCAGCACACTCGTGACACTATCTTGCTGTCTAGTGAGCACGTGTCAGTCTGGGTGCTGCATGACTCCGTTCACCAGACTGAGAGGAGCACAACTTTATCGGTAAACAGGATGGAAAACAGTCTGGCTACTTTCAAAATGGATGCATTTTCTGAGCATAAGCCAAAGCTTCCAATCTGTGCTAGTGAGTTTGACGTTACAGACTGCTTAAAATCTTGTGAGAAAACTTGGCTTTAAGTGATCTTTTTCCTGTGTGGCTTTTGTTACAGTTTTTACAAGGTTGGAAGTCATTTCGTAATGTTCTACTGGCCATAAGTTAACTTTGGACATTTAGATCGAATGCCTCCTTAGTGTGATTTGTAGCATGGAAGCAAATCTAATTAGATTTTTTTAGTAGTTTTATTGTGACAGTTTGCTAGCTTATTTCACATGGGTTTGTGCATAAATGTGGATTTATTTAAATAAAAAAGATATTAATGGCCAACTTAGCTTGTGTAAATTAAGTTATTATTATTAAAAATAAATTTCTCTTACTCTTTTACACTTTGTCATGTTTTCTTTTTAATTCTGTGTATTTACCAGTATTACTGTGCATCTCTAAGCCTCACTCCATCACTGCAGAGTATCGAGGTAAATCCTAAGAACATAATTTGCCATGCCTACAGTTTTTAAAACCTGTTCGGTCCCTTCTGGACCTGAAATTCCCCATGGAAATCTGTGGCACAAGTTCTGAAATTGTTGAGATTCAAAGCAGAAAAATGATGGAACCGCGTTCAGTAAAAGTGAAACGCATGGCAGAAAACATCTTCTAGATCTGGAACTATTGTTTTTCTTTTGAGCAGGGCCAGCAGCCAAACCGAGGTTAAAACGCGGAGCCCAAACTGCCACTTTCTACAGGACACCAACTTAGACTTCATTTATATATTTATGTACGTATATATATATATATATATATACACACACACATACACACACATAGAAAAATGTTTGTGGGAAAGCAGTAAATTGCTTTTATCTACATCCATTAAGATCATAATTCAAAGAGCTTCTGCAAGTATGACTGTGGAGGTAGGCTGGCCAGGTAAGCTTCTCCTCCACATAAATCCAGACACGTTACTGGCTGTCGTGGTTTGGGCCTGATTGGCAGCCAACCACAATGCAGCAGCTCTCTCTCCCTTCCCCTCCGGCAATGAGAAGGGACAGAGAGCCGGGCTTGGGGTTCAAGATAGGACTGGGATGGGGGAAAATCCCCCTTTTATGATCACGAGCAAAAGGCAGACTCGTTAGGGGAAGAAAAAAAAGAACATACATTTATCACAGACACTAACAACACATAACAGAATAGGACAGTGAGAAGTGTTGCCACATCTTAAGAACACCTTCCCCCCACCCCTCCCTTCTTCCCGGGCTCAGCTCTGCTCCCGATAGCTCTACCTCCTCCCCCAGTGGCGCAGGGGCAGGGAATGGGGGGTGCAGTCAGTGCTGACACTTTCTTCATCTTCGGTGAGGGGAGTGTCCGAAACTTGTTACCCCCTGCTCCATCGTGGTCCCCCTCTCACAGGAGACAGTCCTCCACAAACTTTCTCCGACATGAGTTCCTCCCACGGGCCGCAGCGTTCCCCACATTGCTCCGTCATGGGTCACTAACTTCCTCCGACTGGATTCCCTCCCACGGCTGCAACCCTTCCCGAGCTGCTCCAGCGTGGGACTCCCCCGCATGCTGCAATCCTCCCAGCACTGAATTACAGCAGCAGGGCTACCTTTTCCCATGAGACCCCGGCCTTCTTCGGGCACAGCACCTTGATCAGGCGAACAGGAGCAACAGGCCATAAATCAATGTCTGCTCCACTGTAGATCTTCATAGGTGGCAGGGGGGGCCGCCCTGCCATCTCACCACAGGATACAGGGAGATCATTCCACTAATATGTGGTATTATTGCAGCAGCTGCCGCGCTCTGTAGGGCCAGTGTGGATAGAGCAGAAGGACGTGGGAGGAGGCAGTTTCTCCTCTTGGAAGCGGCGTGTCCAGGCTGTAGCACTTTTCCTGCCCGTGAACCGCGCGCTCCGGGGCTGCGTTGGGAAGCCTGGAGCCCTCCAAGCCGTTTGCTAACCCGTATTAGCAACCTGGCATCACGGCTCAAGCCTTCCCATCACCCTTTCTTCAGTCTCTTTCCAACCACCTCCTACCTCTCTATTTCTACTAAAATGCAGCGCCCAGACCTGACATGGGATTGCAGTTGCCGTGAGTGAGTAGAATGTAATTTTAAGCACCTGCTGGATTTCTTGAAACAAAACCAAGCCCCACACAACCACGTCTCCCTTTCCCAGGCACCTTTCCTGCAGCACTGCACTGCTGGCTGGGGCTCGGCCCTCCAGCCCCTGCCCCCCCCCCCCCCCCCAAGGACAGCCTGGTGCCAGCCAGTAAATCCTGCTGCGCTGGAGGCACAGACTGCTCCCACCAGGGCCGTGCTTGCGCTGCGCCCATTTACCAAACAGCTTTTTAAGGCCAATTCTCTTGTCAAAAACGTTCTCAGTTCTGCCTTCCAATGCATCCGTAGCTCTTTCGTGCCTGGCATTCGATACAAACTACTGGAGACTACAGCTCGCACCCATCCCGGGGCAATAAAAATGCTGAACAACAATGGGCCCACCCCACCTCCCTCGCAGCGTGACCGTCAGCCACCCCTGAACAGTTTCGTGTTGCTCAGTGAAGCGCAGCTTGTTCTTCCAGTGCCTCCGCAGGGCAGAGCCCGAGCCAGAACCCCCCCTCTCCCCCCTGGACCGACACACCCTGCCGATCCGGTGCCTCGCACCACGCCTCTGCCAGAGGCGCCAGCCCCAGAACGCAGCCCCAGCTTCGGCCAGCCCGCCTCCGGGGGAGGCTTCCCCGGTCGTGGTGCCTGAAGGGGTGGCGCTCCGCTAAATCGCCTTTAAAAGGGGACGACAACTGAATTTAGTTCTCCTGCTGCCTCACCTGACAGGAGGCTGAAGACACAGCAGCTAGCTCCAGGTCCCTAACCATGTAATTTCTCCAGGTGCCAAGTTGATCTGGCAACTGGGACATCGCCCGCTGCACGCACAACACACTTGGTAGAGCAGACTGGCCTCCTTAGAGCATTTGCCACTACAGCTTTCCATGACAACCACGCTGTGCTTTCACCTTAGCAGAAGGAATAATGCTAAAAACTGCCATTTACAGCAAAATCGGCGCCGGCACGTAAGGGCATTAACGCAGGCGCGCCAGCTTTGCAGGGGCGTCCAGGCTTCTGCATTAGACTGAGCAAGCCCCAAAGGTGCCTCCCAAGCTCAGCTACTCTGCGACTAAAACTCCCTGGGTAAGCGTCTGGAAAACCACCAGTGTGGGGTGAGGGGGAGTCGGGCACACTGGCCTTACGGAAACGGCAGCACCATTCCCCGCTACAACACGTGAACAATGGAAAAAATCATAGGGAACAACAAACATATTGAGAAAGTGTAATTAATGAGCTTACCAGTTTTATCCACCGTCACACTTCTTAAGGCTTACGCCCGCCAGAGAAATCCCATCTCTAAGCCTGGCTCTGTCAAGAGCTCACTGGTCTCGCCTCGGTGTAGCGCACTGAAGAGGCATCAACCCATTTTGATACAGGAGGCACCTAAATCCATATAGACTTAGAAGTCACAGAACAAGACTACCCGTCCCAGTCAGTGCACCACATGAACAGGTTGCACTGCAATCAGCTAATTTTTACACTTACCTGAATTTCCCCAGTAGAGAATCTGTAACTGAGAGTGCATCGATCACAGGCTGATTAAGAAAAAGAAAAAACCCAAACGCGCTAATTCTAAATATTTGTTTCTTGACACAACCTCCGATCTGGGAGGTAACTACCCTACCTACCCTATCTAAGTGGTCCTGGGATTCTCAGCAGTAAACGCACCAAAAAAAAAATCTGCTGGCAGAATTAATGATGTTATAGGAGGAAAAATAACGCACAGAATATAAAACAAAGTATTTATTGTAGCCACAGCATTTAATTTAAGAACACCTCAGGAATGTGGATGAGATGTAGCAAGTTTTTTATTCCTTTCTGTGTTAATCAGAGATACAAGCTGGAGTATTTCTGGGTGAGCAAACTTTCCTGCAAAGCAAAAGAAAGGCAAAGTTAATTAAAAACGCTCTCATTTTCCTACATGGGAAAGGCTGGCAGTGAAACATTAGCAATGGTGTCGCTTTAGCCTCAGAATAAATGTCAAATTTTTCTTCTGAGAAAGAGATTACTCCCAGTTTAATCCAACTACGGAATAACGGTAAGAGTAGTTACAGCCATCCTTCCCCAAAAACTTGTAAAAATATTTTGTGCTCTATTAAGACAATTAAGAGCTGAAAAGGGGATGCACCCGCCCCGACCAAGGTAATCCCATACTGTCTATCCTGCTACAGGAAACCACAGCAGTTACGGGTGCACTCGGGGTACATGCTGTGGCTCCTCCGAGGCACCAGCTCAGTGTAAGTTCCTGAATTCTGGTAGGAGGGCAAAGACATCAATCAGGAAGTGAAGTGCTCCACCTCTGTTGATATTGTCTTTTTCTCCTCCTGTAATCAAATTATTGCATTTTTCAGAGAGCTTATTTTCCTAATGAGTCACCAAGGTATAAATGAGACATGTCAGGGACCGTGTCTGGTGATTGCTGGCCCCCTTCCTGAGTTTGCCTGTGCCTAGTTTTTTCCCAGGATAGGATAACTTGAAGTCACAGTCCTTTTCTGGTGTTCAACTCCCTTGCTAAAATAAAGACTATTATTTTACCTATTTTTCTTTTTGACTATCGGTTTATTTTTGAAAGGATGAAAAGCAGTGGACAGAACAAAAAGTAATACAATTGCACCTACAACACTTCTCTGAGCTGATTCTTACATGTGCCTTGGCCAGGTCACACGAGGCCACAGCTCACGTAGGGATAACAAATTCCACTTCACCGGTTCATGAAACACTAACAAAGTAGAAACAAGCTGCTGTCAGAACATCGGTGAAGAGAAGCGTCCTTTACACCCCCTCTGATGTTACAGGGAGATCCTTAAAACACACGCAGATGTAATGAAAGTTGGGCACCTCTCTAGGTAAAAAGTGATGTAAAAGAAACATGGCATAAAGGAAATTCAGGTTCAGTACCTACAGATAAACGCACAGTATTTTCACACTGCAGTAAGTTTCCCCCCAAATATTTTGGGTACTCAAGCAATGAGTGAAATAACCTCACTTCCTCTGAATGTCTATCAGAAAAAAGACAATTAATACATTTCACTTCATTTTCAAAAGAAGAAGAACACAAAATGTCATACCAGCAGTTGAATCGTAAAAATCCTGCAGTCTGCCAGGTGTGTTTTCCAACTCTTCGTACTCAAATGCTTGCAGTATCATCTCACACTGATCCAACTGTTTTACAAACTTGGCTTCCGCAGTACACTGGTTTTCATATTCCTGAACAGATTTGCAGTTATAAGAAAAAAATTTTGTTGTTCTAAACCAAGAGTATTAGAAGCTCTTTAGATATCTAGAATTTT